CGACGCTCGATGCCATGTTACCCAAGGTCACCGACGAAGAAAACCTCGATGTGAGCGAGTACCTTCAACGCGCCGAAGGAGCCCGACAACTTGCGCGTCTCCGTATCAAGAATCACCAGACGACCGACAGCCACCGTTACAACCTTCGACGACGCTTTGTGGAATACCAGCCCGGTCAACGTGTTTGGGTGAGGACGCCGATACACCGACGTGGACTAAGTGAAAAGCTTCTGCGACGGTACTTCGGACCGTACAGGGTGGTTCGACGTCTCGGCCCACTTGATTACGAGGTTGTCCCCGATGGCATCACGAACTCTCAACGATGCCGATCGCGACCTGAAGTCGTCCATGTCGCGTGCCTCAAGCCGTTTCATGCGCGTTAACAAACTGAAACAGTTTTTTTTTTGTATTATTGTTGTATCGTAATTTATTCATTGTACTTTCTTGCATTATTATTGTACCTGCATCTTTAGTTAAAGCATCGGGACGATGCCTTTTTTCAGAGGGGGGCATTGCCACGTTCCATTTCCCAAGTTTTTGTTATCGTCCCAAAACACCACACGATTCTCAGCGCAAACCGCGCCTGCAGTTTTCGAGAAGGTTCCGGACTGTAGTAGATCATTTCGATAAGATCACGCCCACTGTGCGAACGGTACAGATTGTTCTGGAACCTACGCCACCGCCAGTGATAACGCTAGAACATTTGACGGCAAGAGTATAAATGCCGACGCGCTTCGCCGCTTGCCAGTTGTTGATCGAAGGCCGACGCTGCGTTTGCCGCTATCAGTCCGAGACTGCTATCTGTGCAAGACTGCTGCTGTAATTGGACTTTCCGTTTACCGGGCACAGGTTCGCCCAAATAAACAGTTAAATCCCAACACGAAGTCTCCTGTCTTCGGCCACGTCACGACCCCGTGACGATGTCAATTTAAAGTAATGCCGTTTGGGCTTTGCAATGCGCCGGCCACCTTTGAGCGCATAATAGATTCCCTTCCGCGTGGCTTCAAATGGTCTACTTGCTTGTGCTACTTAGATAATATTATTGTTTTTTCACCGACGTTCGCGAGCCATCTTGAGCGACTGTCCAGTATTCTCCCAGTATTCCGCAACGCTGGTGTCCAGCTGAGCTCCTCCAAATGGCGTTTCGACCGTCGCAAAATAACAGTACTTGGTCACCTCGTTAATCCATGTGGGGTGCAGCCCGACCCGGACAAAATTCACGCAGTGACTCAATTTACCGTACCCTCTTCTGCTAAGGATGTCCGGAGCTTCCTTGGTTTGTGCTCGTATTTCCGCCGCTTCATCCGGAATTTTGTCGATATTCCGCGGCCTCTCACCGAGCTTCTTAAAAAAGACGTCCCATTTACTTGGAATTCGCCTCAACGTGCTGCATTTTCGGCGCTCATTGCAGCTATCACGACTACGCCAATATTAGCCCACTTCGATCAGACCACACCGACAGAAGTTTGCACTGACGCGAGTAGCCACAGGAATGGTGCTGTTTTAGCTCAGCATCAGCATAGACGTGACTGCGTTATCGCCTAAGCCAGCCGATTTTTGTCCTCTGCCGAGAAGAACTATTCCATCACCGAAAGAGAGTATCTTGCTCTTGTTTGGGCTGTCACTAAATTTTGCTCGTACCTGTTCAACCACAGTTTTACTGTTGTAACCGATCATCATGCGCTCTGTGCAAATATCGATATATGCGCTCTGTGCATATACCCCTCTGTGCAAAAGTATGTCGCCTGCTACGACCTTTGTCAACGTCGAAAACGACCAACATCGCTTCCAGCTGGCCTCCTTCACCCTATTAAGATCCCTGCTGAACCATTCTACTGCGTAGGGCTTGACCTTCTCGGGCCATTTCCCACTTCTGCATCCGGGAACAAATGGGTTGCCGTGGCGACCAACTACGCGACATGTTACGCGATCACCTGCGCTCTCCCAAGCAGCTGCGCTACTGATGTCGCCGACTTTCTACTGCACGACATCATTTTGCATCATGGTGCTCCGCAACAGCTCGTTACTGACCAAGGCCGATACTTTTTGTCTCGCGTCATCCAGGATCTTGTACATTCCTGTTCCACGAACCACAAGTTCACAACGGCATGCCATTCACAAACTAATGGACTTACAGAGCGCCTGAATCGCACTATCACCAACATGTTGTCGATGTATGTTTCTCCAGACCACCGCGACTGGGACGCAACGTTACCCTACGTCACCTTTGCTTACAACTCCTTCAGACATGACACCGCAGGCTATTCCCCGTTCTACCTTCTTTATGGACGTGAACCCTTTCTGTCTCTCGATACACTCCTTCCTGCTGGTTCAAGCTCCCCTTTTACATATGTCCGCAATGCCATAGAACGAGCTGACGCAGCACGACAGATTGCCTGAGAACGACTCACACTTTCTCAAGCTTCTCAAAAAGATTGGTACGATTGTCACTATCGTGAAGTTTCGCATGCACCCGGTTCACTAGTACTCTTGTGGACCCCCTGTCATCACATCGGCCTCTCAGCAAAGCTATTATTTCACTATGACGGAACATACAAAGTCCTACGCGAGGTAGGACTAACCTCACCTAGGAGATACAGCGAGTCGTCAATGAAGCGCACTCAATGCCACCACCATCTACTGTTGTGCACGTCGTAAGACTGAAGCCTTATATGTCGCCCAACACTCCGCTTTCATGACAAGCGCCGGGTCGGCACTTTCACGCCGCCGGGTAGTGCCACAAGGCAGTAGTGGGATTGGGGCATAAAGCGGTAGAGGGTCTCTGCTTGAAGAAAAGACTACGAAGTGGTTAGAGACTGGTCCCGGCTTAAACATCATAAATATCCGCAATTATAGGTTTCCTTGTAAAATTATTAAAAGGGGCCCTGCAACACTTACTGAACATGGTCAGAAAACGCTGCCGATCGGTAGTTGAGGCTACCGAAAACACGCGAGGCAAATAATGTAGCGCAGCACGTGGCCTGTAATTCACAATAATTTTTCACAAATAAAAATTGCTTTCTTTCCTCGGCAAATGATACTACTAGATCAAAAATCCCTTGTCACAGCCAAGAATAAATATACGGCTCTGATCACAGGCATTGGCTAATTTGAGCATGGTGCGCTCATCGTTACCAGGGCCGCCGCTTGTCCATGCGTACGTGCGCGATCGCACTGATAAGCCGCATATTAAAAAAAGAGGTGCTCAAGGTCATGAGGTGCATGTGGAGTATTTTCTTTCGTCGTGCCATTCCTCTCTGCTTAGCTTCCAGCTATTTCGTCAAGATGAGAAAAGAGAGTGCAATCGCAGTGTGTGACAAATTTTTGGAACTCCGCTCCTACTGGACTGATTCTAGAAACTTTGCGGTAGTAATTTGTGAGGCAACAAGCATGTTTACTGGCTCCATGGCTACTTGAAAAAGTGTTGCAGGGTTCCTTTAAAGGAACATGTTACCTTCAAATCTATTCTTCCTTTTATTAAGCTTGTTATGACGGCTTATGTGCTCCAAGTATAACAAAACTTAAAACATTAAGTATCTTACAGGTTATCACTCGCATCCTACCGAAACTACCTTATTTACTCGCGTATTCCTCGCACTCGCATAATTCTCGCACCTACAACATCGCCCAATAAAACTATGTTTTTTTTCCCTCGAGTAATTATCGCAACCCCGAAAATTGCCGCAATAATGTCTGCTCGTTCCAGCCGTTGATGATGATAGCGCGCGAGATCTGGCGCCATCTCATACGCATAAAACGTATATTATTGCACAGAGATTCAATCTAATCCAAGCCAAAGCCGAAGCGGCAAGTGCGCGTTGCGGCGTGTTTTGTGTGTTGTGTCGGTAATCTTGTCACGATATGGGGCGATACTGAAGCTACACGGCTGCTTTCAAGTCGAAAGTGATTGATCATGGACTAAACAACGGCAACAGGACCTCCTGTAGGCCCTTCAGAGTCGACGAGTTTTGTGTTCGCTATTGGTGACGGCAGCTGAAAACCACCAAGACGCGTTGGGCCTGCCGTATGCCTAAGACTGAGATTGATGGTAAACTGTATTTCTTCAGAAGGAAAGCGCGGACGATTCTGTTTAATAGCCATCAGCTCAATACTGACGTCCTACGCTTATCTTTTGAGGGCCCCTGTTGAGTGACGAACGCTACGGCTACGCCCGCATTGTCCAGAAGCTTTGTGTATGCTATTTGCTTGCGCTTTTTTGTGTCTCAAATAAATCTTGCCTTGTGTTGAACCTCAGCTTTTATTGTTGAGGTAAATTTTAATTAGTACTTCTCAAAGCTTGCTAATAGTTGCTGGTATGAGAATCTCGATTCGCGGCCACTTCGTTTTTTTTTTCACTCTGTACGTTTTCAAGAAAAGTTTTCCCCGCGCAATTCTCGCACCCCCCAACTTTGTATAGGTTTTAGGCGAAAAAAAGTGTGAGGATTATGCGAGCAAATACGGTACTACTCAAGGTTGTTTCGACTTACTTTGAACGAATAAACAAATGGCATTGGCATAGAGCACCTATTTCAATTCAAAAGAAATATTGTGCATGTTAGTCGGGTCATGATAAGTATTCTCTTTTTTTTATATGTCATACACACTATTCGAATTCGATTCGAAATTATTCGATCAGAATAACTATTCGCTTCGAATTTTCTCGGAACCAAAAATTCACTATTTGCACAAGCCTAAGATAAACCCCTTCTGGCTTCTGCAGTGCCTCATTTTTTATAAGACAACTAGAGAATATAACTCAGCAGCACCCTTCCAGCACTTCACCAACCTAGCTGAAATAAACGATTTCATGTTCCTATCTCATGAGAACATGATTAGAGGTCTTCTGCAACTTCTTTTTGGTAACTTCATTTCAAAGTATTCCTAAGATATTCTGATTGATTCCCATTCAAGTTGTAATCGTATTTGAATTTGTTTCACACCAAAAATCTAGATATTCACACAGCTCTAATAAAGAATTTACAAACAATGTAATAACATACCTTGCTATTGAAGGCAGACTTCACCAAGTCAACAACAAGCTTAAGCTGCTCTTCACCTTCAAATGCCACGCTTTTCAGTTCATTAATAAGAAGGCCCAATGTCTCTAGAGCAGCAAGGACTACTTCTCGTTCTCGTTCAATATGCGAGACCTCTACAAGCTTGGAAATAAGCATGCTTGCTGCTTTAGATGCATCTGAAATAGTGTACATAAGCAGGTGAATGAAAAAGTCATACATACACACATAAAATAGCATCGCACAATATTTTTCATAATAGTAACAAATGTGTGATATTTTTTTTTTTTTTAAGGCGTCTCACTCATACCTGATATAAAGGCTTTGAGCAAAGTTTAAAAAATAATTTTTGGAGAAAGGAAAAGCTAGATTATAGGTCTAACTCTCATAAAGCACAATCCTCTACCCAATAGAAATGTTATGGACTGTGTAAAATGGCACTTAATAATTCATGATTTCTAAATATCATTGAAAACAAATATGGTTGTTACTACAACAAAAATTTTTCTAACAACAATAAAATATTTCTTGGCAGTCACATAGGAGAGCCATTGATCTGATCTGTACAAAAAACAAAATCCGATGTCCAAGAACAAAATCTGTGCCCAAAACAAACCTCTTAGATATATATATATATATATTTACCTTTATCAATCGCATGCAGACACTTTCTAGGGTTGTGATCTATATAATGTATAATGTTGTAATCTATATAATGTCTTTTTTTATGCAGTGTATTATGTGCCTTATATTTTGTTTCTGGATGACAATCACATTATGTTTGTTTTCTACACAGTGTAATAATTTCATTTTCAATCTGTGGTTCCATATAAAGTCGAATCTCTACAAGTCAAACTCGAACGAGCTTGAAAATTTGTTTGAATTAAAAAACAAGTTCGAATTAATGAAAGCTAAATGAACCACAGGCTCACCATGCAGTGATGCATGTGCACTGAGCTAACACACAAGATGAGTTTCAGATGACTTACATTTGTTCACAAATCACAGAACATCCGTCATTAATTGTAGTAATTGATAATGCACGTCTGCACACGTTCGCCTAGCAGCGAGTCAATCAACTTCGCATGCAGCTTTTAAAGCATTTCTACTTCGGCTTCAGCATTCTCCTGGCAAGAGAAGTTGTGCGTGGCAATATCCAGCGCCAACACTCTCTAAAGATGACGACAACTGCATCTTCGCTGCTACCCTCTGCGCCGAAGGTGCAGCGTGGCCAGCCCGTGATGAGAAAAGAGGAGCATCTCCATGCGGAGAGAAGCAGATCGGCATTTGAGAACCAACACTACGTGACAGCTTTTTTTTTTTTTCCCCTCTCTTCACGCGTGGCGTTGAAAGGAGAAGGGTCTCTACGTGGCAGAGACGGAAAAGGGAGAAGCGTGGCCCAGGCGCGTCCCAGATCGGCATTTGAGAGAGAGCAAACATTTCGCCGCAGCCTTTTCTTTTTTTTTTTTTTTCTTCTTTTCCTTCTTCACGCGCAGTATTGAAGTGTCAGAGGTGCCACTGCTGCGTGGTGCTGAGAGCATTTTCAGAGCGCAGTATGTTTAAATTAACCATCGCAAGAGCTTACACGTTAAAATTAAGGGCGCTTTCTCCAATTGGAATACACATACCTTTGATGGGACCACAGCCTCAGTTTGAAATAACCAGACGTTCGAATTAAGCATGTTCGAATGAATGAAATTAGACTGTATGTATTAAAATCACAACTTCAAGGTGTATGCCCTGTTGTGGCCCATTGCCCGTGAGGTGCCATATCGCCATGTTTAATGCGGTGCTGCAAACGCTTCGACTTTTTATTAAAGACGATAGTCTTTCTTGGGGACCTTCGACGCAAGAACTTTGGTCTGTCTGTTTGTTTGTCTTTACATTTGTCTGTTTGTCCACCGTTATCGCGACCCGGTTATTCTAAACAGCACCAACTGATACCCTGAACAGCCGACCCTATCCGCAGCGCCCACCAATGTTGCTCAAGAATCAGCGTTCTTACGTGTGCAATTGTCAATTAAAAAGCAATCATTGCGCGTATGTGGGGAACCATAACAACACGTCGATGTTTTGTATGTGTGCCTTTAAACAAGAGAATGCACACACAAGTAATTCTAAGGACCGTAGCGATAAACACGCTGCGCTGACAGTGCGTCACGGGGCTCAAAAAGGCAAGTTTTACCAACGCTTTGCTAAAACAACACGGTGGTGGCACCTTCCCATCGCTTTGCGTTATACACCTTATTGCCTCCGAGAATGCACGCATCTTTCTCCGCAGGCATGCAGGCCTTCCTTCGTTTTCGGAGATAACTGCCAGATGGCCCTTGTGGCTAACGTGCCTCGATGCGCTCGTTCGCCTCCGTTGCACGCTCAGGGCACTCTAACGCAGTGCCTCCGGAATACCATTCCCCAATTTTATTGCGCAGAACATCAAATAAATGTTTTGTTCACTCTCTCCACACTCCAGACTATCGTCTTTCGACGACATTTGCAGATTACATGCGGATACGGGGCCAATTTTTCATTTTTCTGTTTTCTTTTTTTTTTTATGAGGCTGTGTGAGCTAGCTAAGCTGTTTTAAAACACAGTTTTCTACCCATAAGTCGTTGCTTTCTGAACGACAAAATGAAAAAAGAAAACAACTTGAACTAGTGGTAAAGCTTGAGATCTTCAATGGGAAGAGAGAAGAGCCCCAACTTCCCTGCCTTTGGGGAAGTTGGGGCTTGGAAGACGGGTGTTGTTCTGTGTCATTTGAAGCTAAGAATCATGGCAAGCAGAAATTTCAAGTGAGACGGGGGTACAAAGACACACATCTATTATGCCAGTTCTGGCGTGTATGCCCGTGAAACAGATCAAACAAAACTAGTGGAAGCTGAAGAATTCGAGAAGTATAATACTAATTGCATAAAAAGAAAGCACTCTTCTAATAGGCTTACCAATGTATAAATTGAAGTCAGATCAAAAGTTGTCGTACCAATGTATTTTTCGTGGCTTAATGAATGACTGAGTATGAAGAAAATAGGTGTACCGCTTGGTAAAACAGTTTTTGGAATCCCGCAAGGTGGAGAAGCCTATAAAATGGACACTCGCAATGAACATGTTTGCTGCACAACACAAGGAGATCCATACAGATTTTCTAGAAAGCCAAGCTTTCTAGTAGATGAAAAATTCATCCTGGTCTGGGGATTGAACTTCGAGCGAACGCCATTCCAGGGAAGTCGCTCTATTATTTGAGCTAACCAGGAAGAGGCTAGTAATTCGTAAAGCAAGAGTGCATTAGTCAACAATTAAAGTGCATGGACACCAGGTATGGCAAATCAGTTATGCAGAACACCCAGGATTAGTTCCAAGACTCAGGATGCCCCTTTTGCCAGGTACAGCAAGATTGTGCATGAATACATGCAGGAGGGTCCAGCCCCTGTGTGCATAGGCCCAGGGCAGAGCAACACACAAGCAATATGAGTGAGCAATGTCTCCCTCACTCATCCACTGATACTTCAGCTCATCGATTGAATGCCCTAACAGGGACATCTTTTGCAAAATGCTCCTTGTTATTTTTTCTAAATTGCATATAATTACAAGAAGATGTGGAGAGAGCGTGTACATCTACAAACATCATCTACATTACATCAGAAGCCCTAAAGCATTTATTTCATGTTATTTTGTGAATGAGACAATATTCAATATGTATGTGATTGTATTTCCTGAAAACTAATACAGCAGGGTTAGATTAGGACATGTCACCTACACTAACTGCCTCCCAACTCTTGTCTATTCTGTTGTTTTGATATGTGATTATTATGCAGATATGTAATGAAAAACTGCAAATGGCCTCTACTCTCTGCAGTGCCTTTCCAATTGAACTCACCACCAATGCTGGCATGGTCACCATCTCCAGCTTGACCGGCACTTTTGAACAGCATCACAATCAGCTGACCTAGGCAGGACAGTGCTGCTTTCTGAACATCACGTGCTGGGTAATCAGCCATATGGTATACTTCAGTTACGCACTTTTCCAAGTATGGTGCAAAAGCTGGTCCAATGTTGTCAGCCATCTCTGCGAGGAGCCCACAAGTGTCTTCCTTCTCCTCCAGGTAGGCATTTGCAATAGTGCAACTGCATTAATACAATGCCATTTTTTAACCTCAGTCAAAGCTTAAAAATATTTCCAAGACATGTTTTTGCTTCACATCTTTTATCTTTTAGAGACAGAGATAAAGAGGAAAAAAGAAAGAAAAACTACTAAACACAGAAGGGGGAGAAAATGTGAAGGCAAGCTTTGTTCACTCAGTAATCTATACCATAAATTGTAATAACACAAACGAAATGATTATTAAGAACATATGACAATGACATTTACCTAAATGTCAGAAAATTTGACAAGTGAAGCATATTTATATACTACTGTAGCAACGATAATATCAAGACAATATCAATACACAGAGCACCACTAAATGTTAGCCAATGGATTGGTGTAGCCAACAGAATGATTGGGGGGTTTCAAACATACCCAAAATTTTTTAATTTTGCCTGCGTATATATTTATACGCACATACAGGTGGTGATTATTAAGAACGTATGACAATGACATTTACCTAAATGTCAGAAAATTTGACAAGTGAAGCATATTTATATACTGCTGTAGCAACGATAATATCAAGACAATATCAATACACAGAGCACCACTAAATGTTAGCCAATGAATTGGCATAGCCAACAGAATGATATGGGGGTTTCAAACATACCCCAAATTTTTCAATTTTGCCTGCGTATATATTTATACGCACACACAAACACATGCATAAACATACATAAAATATGGTTAAACCCCCTTAAAATTTCTGGCTATGCCACTGAGCCAAGGTTTAGAAGTATTTTGGTTTCTTATAAGAAAAAGCCCGTTTAAGTGCACTTTAGGTCCTACTATGGATCAAGTTACTTTCCAGTGATTACCAGTAATATGGAATTTGAAAACAGCTTTTTGAATGCCATGATTTCGTGATTTGCGAGGCAAACAATTTCAGAGAGACACGCACATATGTCTTGACGATGGTACTTAGCCTTTGCTTGGACAGCATAAATTTGTGCTTACTGATGTTGGCATCACTGGACCTCAGCTCAAGCAACCTGTTTAGCTGCAGGGGCAGATAAAGTACTTCCAGCAGTTATATTGCTCATAGTGAAGAGAGCGCTACGAGTATTGTGGCTTTTTTCTTCCTGCTGCCTTCTCTATCACCGTTTTGCATTCTCCAATATGCTCTGCTTTCGCTCCATTTCATCTTTTGCGAGAATCCAAAGCGCCCTCTTTTTTTTAGATCCTCGTTTCCCAGCTAGTGAGCTGTGCTGGCCTTACACCGCTCTATTGCAGAAAACTGCCATCAAACCGCAACGTGGCTGTCATCACTACGACATTAGGCCTTATCATCTGGCCCAAACCAAGCTTCCCTCTCCATAGTATAACGATGTTCGAGCACTGTACTTTGCACATCATGTTAGCTCGCATTCCCTGTGTTACACCTGTCCACATCGGCCGCCAGTGACAGCTCCCACGCACCCTCTCCACTGGAGCTCGCTGCTGTCTGGCACTTGGTCACCGCGAGAGTGCTACCTTTGCAAGTGGCTTCTTGTTTGGGTGCTTGGTAGTTCCTTTTTGTCGTAACCACAGTGCTGCTGGCAAACACACTTAATCGGTCTTACAGAGTTGCCCTGTCCAGACCGCCAACCGATGATTGTCGCACTGTGCTGCATCTTGGGCTCATAAACATCTGTTTATTAACAATCTTCCTCGAGTGCTTTTCTTGCACTGTGACAGAGAGTTGACAAATCCGGCTTGACTGTCTTTGTGTACTGTGGCAGAGAAGCAACCTTGCGCCCCTTCCCAGTTGTGCTCATGGGATAAGCCTCTTGCAAACCTATCTCCACACTTCTAATGCCAAAATACATTATTTCTTGGTTGCGCTGCAGCTGTCAACACCCCCGTAAAACAGGCAGAACAGGCACCAAAGAGTTACGCTGTAAAAACATATGACTACACACTTTGTGGCACAATTGTGTACCAAACAAGCCACGTAGTAACTATCAATGATTTCAACCTAGTTTGCTGCCACTGAAAGGGTGGCAACACTGTGACACAAGTTCCGGCTCAAAAATCCCTATAACATTCTCAGCTACAGTGAACAAGCTTATTAATGCTGTTCATAAATTGCAAGTTTGTTATTTCAGTGTACAAGTATTTGTATCTTTCATATTTAAGGAGAAATACAAGCCGAAAAACACAAGTATATATATTTTTTTTTAATTTTAAATCTTTTGTTTTTATTTGCTTTCTCTACTTTCACAAAAATAAAACAAAAGACTAAAGGCTGTAATTCAGCTTGAAGTAAATTAAAATTGCTTTTAAAGAGCACAAGATGCCTACGAAAAGCTAAAAAGAGCTCATTGTCTGTAGTCTCCAGGAAATTGTCATCTGGCTGCTTGCCATTGCATTTTGCATGAGTTGTTCACTAAAGCCACATGGTCAAAATAACAACGATTGCCAAGCTCTCACGATGTAAAAAATCATTTTAAAAAGCATACCTTTGCCGCATGGATGAGCTTTGACTTATGCCTTTAAAACACGTTTTTCTCAAGATCTATTTTTGGGTGACTTGTTGAGTATAGACATCATCTTTACGATATGTTTAATAGGGAGATTAGGATGATATTTTTTCCAGATATTCCTTTACATATGGAGGGTGCAAGTATCTCCTTTGAAACTTTATCTCGTCTGTATATAATTATTATGAACCTAAAGCAGGGTATTAGTATGGGCTGAGGATTCTAAGAATTCTCACATTATGCTTTTTTCTTGTCCGTTCAAATGTCTTTTACACACTTTACTGACAGTTATTAGCAATCTACAGGTAATGTGAAGCAATATGAATAATTGATGGCTCAGAGCCATAAAAGTTTATTTGCCTAAAACGTTTGTCCAAAATGAACTATATTTTTCACATTGCCATGGCACAAAACGAAAACTGTAGAATTTACTGTACGACTATTTACATATTTAAAATCAGCATAAAAGCCTATGTATAAACCAAAATATTTACATTGCCCTAGAATACAGATAAATGAAATGTTTTTTTCAAATCCGACTTCTCATTTACAGTCTTTCATTTTAGATGTAAACAAAAAACTTGACTGTTTTATCTCAGAAATCTCCACAACTTTGTCACTAGATGTTTTGAATTTAGGCCGCCTCCTAGAATTGAATAAATTCAACTAAACAAGAAAAGTTGAGTCTTAGTAACAAAGAGAGAGAGAGAGAGAGACCTACTTTGCAGAGAGCCCAAATCTTAAAAATTTTAGCTCTTACTGAAGTCAGCTGGTATATCCATTAAAAAAAGATTATTAATGGAGTGTTATGTTTGTCTGAAGTTTAAAAGACCACAATGCTGGCAGATGTCTGGGTAGAAAGCTGTTCAGTGAAATAACCTTTGCTCATTGTCATCATCACTGTCATCATCAGAAGCATCTTCTGCACAATCAGTGTCGATTTCAGCAGCCTCATCATCGCCCTCCTCCAGGTCATCAAAGAGTTGGAAGTTCAGGCCAGAAGTGTCAGCGAACTGTGTCTGTGGCATGGTGGGAGGAGAGAGAGAGAGAGAGAGATATCAAATAGTATTTAAAAGCAATCCCTATCATGTAGGCTTCATATTTTATAATCTTAACTCCAACAACTTTGATGCTTCGAACTTCTGATTAAGGTGCAAAACTGTAGAAAAGTTTCGTTTATGAAAAGTTCAGTAAGCTAATTATGACATATACAGTTAAACCTTGGTACAATGAATTTCACTATAATAAAATTCTCAGTATGACAAAGTGTTTCCCTTTATAAAACTTCATAATCGTAGAACATGAAGTATTCATAATCTTAGCATAACAAAGTGTGTTTTATGACCGAGGAAAGCCATACCAAAGCAATAAACTCAAGCTACTTCCTGTGGAACTGGTAAAACGGTTTTACATGCCATTTTTGCTAATGTATAATGTATGAAATGGCACCCCATGCAATAAAGTACACTCTCCAAAACAAATCCAAATCTTGTGCAGCAGCAGATGGGGACAAGGGTGCATCTGGATGCTTTCTACTTCACTACCAGAGTGGAGTGAGAAGAGCATGAGGGCACACATGAGAGCACCCCCAGCACATTGTACTGAGTACGGATATGCCTCGTACCGCAGCCAGATTTAGTGTATAGTGGTGTCTGGCATGTCACAAGCATAAATAGCCATAAAGGGGGCACAAACAAAGGGGAACTGTTCGCGGGGCTAAATGTCTTTGTTAGACACAATTAATGAAACCAACTGACAACAAAGCCAAGGAAAGCAAAGGAATCTTTTTTAACTGTAGTGTAATAATTATTACCTAGTAAATTGAAAGGAATTAAAGTGGATAAAAATCACCTTTTTTGTCAGTGGGCTACAGACCCACAACCTCCTAATTATGTGTCTAATATGGGTTCAAATCCCACCAATGCAGAAATTACTGTTTCATTCACTGTACAACATATACCGTATTGACTCGCGTAATGAACCCATCTTTTTTTTTTTTAATAAAAGATGACGCCAATTTGGGGGGAGAGTTCATTACGCATGCGGGAGAAAAAAGTCACGGGAGTTATAACCGCAAAAATTTTGCATGATTGTATTGGCCCGAGAAATTGCGCAATGAACCTTTTTGTAGCCCGAAGCACTTCTCGTTTTCTCCCGTAACGAATGCGCACAGATCGATGACGAAGTGTCGGCCAGCCCATAGAGTATACATATGGTCAAGCCACTCGGTTCCCATGCTTTAGCGCATGAAGCCATGTAGCTATAGCGTACCGAAGGAATGCGCTCTGCCAAGCATATGTCCAACTAAATTCACTACAACAAACCCGACAACGAAAACGCAGCGTCAGGTGGCGGTGCACAAACATTGCGGGTGCACAATGTGTTGCACTTTGCATGGCCTCCGAAATAGGTGACGCACGGCGTAAAAACACGGCACGTGCCCGTTATCCTGGAGGCCAATCACTTTGTTTCTTGCTTTGTTTTCATGCCACTGTACTTACATAGTGCTATAAGCAAAAAGGTTTTTCCTGCATTCGACAGATGGCGCTCTACCGTGAAAGGCGAGACTTTTAAATTTTGATTGACGTCGTTCGGGCTGCTCACAAGTGTTTAGCATGGTTGCCTAACTAACTTCTGAATTTTATTGCATTGTTATTTTGTGATATAACGGCTTGATTTAACATTGTTTCAATTGTCAACGGCGCTGGCTGTCACACTGAAATAATATGAACGGATATATAAAAAAATCTTTATTTTTTTTTTTTCGAGGACCAAGATGGGGGTGGGTTCATTATGCCAGTGTGTTCATTACGTGAGTAAATACAGTAGTGAACGAAAATATAACACCATACAATATGACATTATTGTCATATTGTATGGTGTTATATTTAGTAACCGTGTGTACAACCGTGTGTACAACCTTTAGTAACCGTGTGTACAACTGTACACAAACTTTGGGGACATGTCACGCACAGCATGTTTTTTCGATTGTTGCAAAAGCAAGTGTGCACATTCCTGCAGGCTTCCTGAGTGAACACCTAGCAGTCATTTAACTTCATTTCAAGGTATATTGCTCCAGATGGGCACAGCACCGGCCGACTTCGGAGCACGGCACCAGAACATAGTGGCACCTCATGGCAACAAGCACACCTGATCTAAACACTGCTCTGGGTTTATATCAGCTATAGCCAATAGCACAATAGCTATTGGCTATAGCAATAGCTATAGCCAATAGCAATAATCTGCTGTACGACAACATAGAGTTGGCACCCTGTACAATGAGTAAGGGACTCTGTATGAAAAGAGCACGCTTGAGAAGGAGATAACTTTGTGCTTCACTTTTAAATGCTCATTAGTATGCAAGACTGCAAGATTTGGCTGAGCTGTTTAATAGCAGGGCTGGCTTCCTATTGTATGTGCTTTTAATTTTTCACAAAACTGTGACGGGCGTGGTTCATGACCCCTTTCAAGTTGTATTATGGCAAATAACTTTTTTTTTATAATTGTCAGTATTGATGTAAGCAACAATACATAGGCAAGTCGGCAGAGCATAATTGAGTATGCTTGAATAAGGGAGGGAAAATATGCAGAAATAAAAAAGACAGAGTAGGAGCGCCGATATTTTTTTTTGCATGACACACAGAAATAACAAGGCAAAGTCTTTATAAATACTCATTTCATGCACCTTAATCTATTTAAAAGGTTTATTCAGCCACGGCAACATTGTTTACATGCTTTTAAATATGGGTATCAAAATAAAGTAAAATCTCGTTATAATGAAGAGGAATATAACAAACTTATGAATATAACAAAGTAATTGTGATTACCATTGAAATTCTTATAGACACCCATGTATTTAAAACCTCATTTTAACAATGCGAAAATTTCCTCACAATGGATATAACGAACCATTCTTCATCTGCAATGAGCATTTACTGATCATTTTGGTATATACGTCAATTCAATATCTTAGAGTGCACAATAATTTACGTCTCATCACGGCTGCGGTAATTCTAAACTTGCGCCTTGCACTCACCGGAAGCTGCCTACGGCCTGGCAACACGCATGTGGCAGCGAGTCTCCCTGCCTCCCCTTTCCTCAGGAACTAATAGACTCGCCCGCACAGCACCTCCGCGAGCGTGCGCGTCAGTCGGCCTCCCCTCTCCTGTAGAGCTCATTGACCCGCCCGCGCATCTGATCTACTTCTCCCCTTCAGCTGTGCGCCGGGGCCTCGCATGCCACTGGGGCGGCAGAGATCGTGACATTCATCCTTGTCGTTTGCTATAAAAGAGCAACACTACCTCTATCAGTTTCTGCCGCTAGACAAGAGATGGCCAACGGCAGCGGCACGCGTGAGCAAAAAATAAACAATCGAGCAGAAGTCAGCAATGTTGAAAGCCGTTCAGTCTGGGGTCAAGAAAAAAAAAAGAGGCCGAAGATTTCGGAGATGTCGTTGGGTGCCGCGGGCGACCAGGCCCAGACCTCGTGAGACGATCTCCTTGACGCTGGCGTAGTGCCTGACTACGACACTTTTTGCATATACGCCGATGCTGATGCGGTGACAACCGAAGAGTGGCGAGATGTGGAAATTGTGCCGAATTAAAACAAAACAGTGACGTGGAAACAGTGACGAATGTGTCGACACCCCAGAGCCTAATGTTGGCGAGCCCGCCGCGGTGGTCCCGCCGCGGTGGTCTACTGGTCTAGTAGGTCGAGTGGTCCCGCCACGGTGGTCTAGAGCCCGCCGCAGTGGTCTAGTGGCTAAGGTACTCGGCTGCTGACCCGCAGGGCGTGGGTTCGTATCCCGGCTGCGGCGGCTGCATTTCCGATGGAGGCGAAAATGTTGTAGGCCCGTGTACTCAGATTTGGGTGCACGTTAAAGAAACCCAGGTGGTCTAAATTTCCGGAGCCCTCCACTACGGCGTCTCTCATAATCATATAGTGGTTTTGGGACGTTAAACCCCACATATCAATCAAAACTGCACAAGCGCTGGATGCGACAGACCTGTTGTGCTACTTCTTTGGTGCTTACGATGACGGCAAGGACGGACTCGAAATAGCTGCTACAGCTGAAAAAGCAGTCATCCGCGTGAGGAAGAGTCGGCAAAGTCAATAATATTAAGGACTATTTTTCTTCTAAGTGATCTGCCAGCTGGTGTGCTAAATTTGGTGGAAATAAAGAGCATTGTTCTGTGTCATTTTGCTATTTTTTGCCTTCCAACAGCTGTTTTTCTCTGCGAGGCGGGCTGCTGTGATATTCGTTGGTGCGTACATTCTCTCTTGCTGACTAACTGCCGATAGAAATGGATATTGGCTATAACGAACTGAAGGTCATAATTACAACTCCCCCTTCAACTTCATTATAACGAGGTTAGACTGTAGACAGTATTAAAGAAATGAAAAGTAGCTGTAATTTCGTAAATATTCATCAACACAGTGAAGTTTTCTTTATAATAATGCTGAAAGTGTATACAAAAAATTCATACTCGAAAAAGTTCGTAGCCATGAAATTTTACAGATGGGCCATACAATCTATAAGACATGAACTTTTTCACTTGATGCTTGCCAATTCAAATTGATCCCCTGGTCAATGCAGGCATATGTGTCATTTACTGGTTGTCAAACTATTGTCAATCATGACGTATTTTAGCACATCCTGCAAATATAGAAAAACCCTTGGAGTGCTCAGAGTGCAAAGCAAAAGCAGAGCAGTGCTAGTACCGAACCAAAATCAAGCTGCAGAGCATGCATCCTCATAGTCTGTAGTGAAAGTATATGGAATAAAAAAAAAAGTTGGAACATTAGGTGCATATTTATGCCTTCAAAATTGCAGGGTCGCCATCTGCCGCATCAACAGTGACCACAACTTCATCAATAATGATGAGCATCAGCTAATTTTGCCTCGGTGCAGGGCACGTGCAATGTTTTAAATATGGTGCATGAACAGCAACTATACTGTGGCTTGCATGCCAGCATGAAGATTGGCAGTTGAATTATGTTTGACAATTTATTTGGTAGAGTAAGAACCAATGTAAGCTTGTGGTAGTGAAAACCATGAGTCAAGAGGCAAATGATGTTGTAAGTCCCACTGTAATTGTTGAGCTGCCATACTGAATATTGGGGCATTACAGTGCAATTCCTTTTCTCTTACAAGTTCCTAATGAGAAAACTGTAGAAACAGAGATATACCTAAAGGAAAAATTATTCATTGTAGAGAGGCTGCTTCCATATTGCATTTTTTATGGGAAACTAATAGGAATTGCATTGCAAACTTCATTACAGGACTGTTTATTATAGCGGGGCTCGACTGTAAAACATTTTAAAGGATACATACTTCAAAGAATTTGACGATCAAATAACTAAAAACAATGTCAATAGTGTTTGCACATGCCTGCAAGTTACAATGAAATAAGTGATACCAACATACCACAACACCTTCGGTGGATTGCAAGGAAGTAAACATGTGATCCAGGATAGGCTCCAAATACTTTTTCATGTCAGCTTTCAGCACAGATGACACAGATGCAAACATTCCATACCTGTAAGGCCAGTGTTACACAAATAATGTTCATTATGACATGAGTGTGCTATCAGTAGTAAAAATGATGCCCCTGTATAACCACTCACGTGCTCTTGCGTAAATCAGGATCATCAACTGCATCGATCAGGTGCAATCCAAGTTCCACACACTCTGATGCCATTGGTAAAAAATTGGAAGCCCCAATAGTCCTAGCCAAACAGCCCAATGTGTCTGAAAATGTGAAAATAAAGGTTGTGTGTCATCGCAAATAAATTTGGCACTAGCAACTTTGCTGCTGCCTCACCAATAGCTTGAGTTCGAAGGGTGGCATTCTGTTCCGTTTGGTGTTCTGTTAAATACTGCTTGAGCTCACTCATGATCTGAGGGAAGTATGGCAGCATTGCCTCTTTCGTAGCATTCGCTGAATTTGTGGGAAAAAAACATGATCAAAATTAGCCATAAGAGTAAAATGGTTACTACAACAGCAACGTTTTCCCAGAACAATGCATACAATTGTGCAATAGCCAATCCTATACAATTTAACAAAATATCGATGGTGATGTCACAAACGACGAATTCTAATGAAAGAGTCCAAACAGCCAATTGACTCCTCAAGTCAACACTCAAATCTGCCGTAGGGCAAGGCTTCCAAATCTATGACTGGAACACAACTAGTGCCACTGGAGCAAGGAACAATCAAAATTTCTGTGTTCCGAGTAGCGATCTGCTGGATTCCCACTCATATGCAGCAGTTTCAGCATTGTCACTATCAAACAGCAGAACTACTGCCGTATCATTTGCTCTGTTCATGTCATCTGCCATGATTACAAAAACTCACGACTACCAGCAGCACCCCTAAGCAGGAAATAGTCCCAGCCCACTTGATCAATTTTAGCGGAGTAACTTTTACTGCTTTTCGAAGTGCCTCTTAATGGAACACTTGACATGAATAAACTTGCTCCAAATGGGCAGAAAAACTTGCTCAGAGTCTGCCATTGAAATTCAACGCAAGTTTAATGACAGATTCTCTGTTGCTCCAATGGCATACCTGCCAAGTTCAAAGATTTTGAATCTGGGAAATTTTGAATCTGGGAATGTGTCTGGCCTTTTTTTTTTTTTTTACGTATTTACTGTCTTTAATCTACCGCTGCGTTAGCCACGTGCCCTCGTAGCTTGTAGATCGCTATCGCGTCGCCGCGACTGCGAGTCATGTGCGCGACGGTTGCAGCAAGTAGTAGTTCCTTTTTCAATACCCGTGCACTTGGCTGCGCACGCGCCTACAAAACTACGTCGTTTTATGCCATCTATGATCGCATCTGCCGCGGTTTGGTCCGCAGAGTTTGTGGAAAGCAGCGTTGCTTTGACTGGTTGAGCATTATATGCGTGCACATTTTTGGGGTTTTGTCAGTCACGTAGTCGCCATAGATGATCCTGTCAGGAACGACAGCGGTTTCGTCCATAGCGGTAGTGGCAACGACAATCACACGCACTGTAGAAGACAGCACTCTAAAAAAAGAGCGAGTAAAAAGGGCGTCTTTTTGTCCCACAACAATAATCGTCATCTATATTGTGTTCCATCCTTGCGCTATCACCCCGCGCCCGGTACATTCCAGTCACGATCGACATGCCCATTATCAGGGTTACATTGCATTATCGATAGGAAAGTGGCCAGCGCCGAGTTTTCAAGAAAGGAAGCGCACGCAAGCCTGATGACGATTACTGTTGTGGGACAAAAAGACACCCTTTTTACTCGATATTTTTTTAGAATGAGTGGGTGCGCCAATCGCACGCGTACTTCCGAAGCTTCAAGCATGCTGCTCTCGGCCTTCGTTCGACAGTTTCCATACTAAAGTTCGTATCACCCGCTGCAATTAGGAAATGTGTTCAGAACATTCGAATTTAGGCCCAATGGACATGGTGAAACTTGGCTCGGGAATTTCAGAATTTGTATCTGCCGCGGTTTCGCATCGCCGAGATCCTACTGTACGTTTAGATGAACTCCTCTTAAATTCATTTATAATAAAATGGGTAGGTTCGAAAAGCCTGGAGCAGATTGAGCTGCTTTTTTTTGTTAATGCCACCTGATCACACACAGAAATTTCGATTTCCGGGAGAGTTTGATGACGACCGTACAAACAGAAAAAACAGTCGAAAGCAGGGAGTCTCCCTGCCAATCCGGGAGACTTGCAAGGTATGCAATGGTGGCAAAACCAGTACCTCTACCCGCCTTTTTTCCAGCTGCGAATTGATTGAGCTAGTTCAGCAAGAAAAGACTACTTTCTTGACACATGACACATTTCTACCCAAAGACAGGTAAGGATGTAGCTGCTGCTGTACTAGCTGGAGCAGGATGCGCCTTACAGCTTACAATCAGATTTTTCCAATTGGCTATTAACAACCAAGTCCATTTGTGTGCAGAGTGGACGAACAGAAATGAGAAAGCAGTCCTGTAAGGTTAGGGTTGCAGAGAAGGCTGGAAAAAACCAACTTTATTCTAAGAATGTACTGGACATACGGTACTTGGATGTATGCGGCAGTCTGCATTGCTTTCTTCTTGACATTTTGGGCATTCCTTTTCGATTTTGTACAAACACCCAAGAGCCAGATTTGATTGTTCTAGAATGTGGTATGGGAACATTGTAGTAAGCAGCTTGTTTCACCTCAGAAGAGATGCGAAATTTCTTGGTACATAGGCTGCCATTGTTTTATCACACATATTGTTAAAAGCGGTAAAGTTATAAGTGAGTGCACCGGCACTACAATAGGCTGGCAACATCCCGACAAAACAATTTGTAGTAAGATACTAACCACCATTACAAAGCTTTATGTACATTTTGATGCTCTTTATTAAAAGACAAAAACAAGATTGTCACCTTGAAATGCACAGATATGATTGGGATTCACAGTTCACTGTTTACACACAATTAAAACTTACCAGCAGAGCCGATAGCACTAATGGCCAGCTTCTTAGCTAGATATGATGGTGCTGTCAAGAAGAGAAAGACCTTCTGCATAACACTCGGCAGATGGGGCACCAGCTTTTCCTCTGCACAGCATTTCCATCACAATCCCATTAAGCATACAAATAGCTGAAGAGAACAACTTTTAAGTTCATGATTATAAAGTGCATGTCCAACAATCATCAAAAACTTAACAACTACAGCAAAAGATCATGGATTCAAACTCACAATTATTTCGAACTGACACCTTGGCCCACGCACAGCTGTGTATTTCTATGGGACAGCACTTTTTTATGAGGCAGCATTTTTTATAAAATGTTGTCGAGCCGCACCTTCACAACGAAGCGCGAAGCATGCTTGGTAGTGTAACAACGGAAGAACAGAGTCCCTTCCTTTTCGGGGCAAATGCCACAGGTGAAGAGAAGCTGCCGTTACTGATAATTAGCAAAGCTCTTAAGCCTAGGTGCTTTAGAAATGCATGACTGCCGAATGGCATTATCTATCGCGCGAATAGAGCAGCGTGGATGACTGCTACTCTTTTCAAAGAGTACGTTTGCACTATGACAACAAGATGGCCAAGAAAAACAGAAAAGTCTTGTTCATTGCCAACAACTGCAAAGGCCACGGCACAATAGAAAATTTGGAGGCAGTGACAGTTGAGTTTTTGCCTGAAAATATGACATCTGTGCTATAGCCGATGGACCAAGGTGTCATCGAAGTGGCCCGAAAAGTCTTCTGAAAGAGCCTTCTTCACAAAATTTTGTTGTCTTATGAAAACGGCAGAAGCTACGAAATTGACCTGCTGGAAGCAATACACATGCTCAGCAGCACTTGGAAGTTTGCGCAGTGGCTATTGCCAACTGCTTTGTGCACGTTAGGTTTTCACATGCTGCCAGTTCGCCAGAAGCAGAGATGACAGACTGACGACTTCATAGACTGTGAGGAACTTTATCAAGAAGTTATCAAGGTTACAGGTAATGATGACACTGAAAATGGTGCGACTTTTCTGGAGCATGCGTTGTGCGAGTAACATGTGGCGGTCACTGGAAAAATGACGGACGCTGAAATCGTTCAAACGGCCACTAATGTAAGAGACGGCGAAAATGATGGCGATGACGAACCAACTCGAGAGGTGCCGACATCTACTGAAACAAGAAATTTACTGCGCTTCTTTCGAAATAAGGTCGAGTGCAGAGACGGGAAAAATCGACCGATGCGGTGAGTCAAGCAGCTGGAGGATTCCAAAGCAGACGAGGGCGACGCAGTTTCTCTCTGCTAAATAAAATGGCAGTTCGGCAAAACCTAGCTAGTTAAAGTCTCTTGTATGTTATTTTTTCTTTTTTAAACCTGTATGAGAAGAAATATTAGAAACTGCCACTGAAGAGCCAGTAAGTAGTAATGATTTTTCTGAAAAGCCCTCGTTTTTCCCAGCAATTAGCACAACTTTGCTTATATTGAAAATCCATTCATCTCGAAATTTTCCTTGGTTTTTACAACTTCAAGTTAACGCGGTATTACTGTATTCTTGTTCATTTTGTCCCTGTGCGTCATTTAATTCTGCTTATCGACAGGGCAGTCAATACTTGTGCGTTCAGCTTAAAAAAATGGGCAGCTGTACTTGGACACTACAGCTGTGATGTCACTTACTATACACTCTTAAAGGGCCAGTAAACAGCCCTGAAGTTCAAAATTTTTAAAAAGAGATACATATATGTGCAGTTTTTCTTTGCGAACATGGTGCCGCAAACATTTTGCGAATACGTGCTATATTGAGCAAGTTACAGCGGTTAGAACATCGGTCTAAGCTGGTTTCAATTTTCGCACGGCCTCGCCCACCTTCTCTCTTCCATGAAGGGGAAAGCATTGCCCATCGTCGTGACTCTGCCCACTTGGGAATCGTGACACCACGTCAGCGATTGACGTCATCGGTAAACTCGATCAGTCGCAACGCACTTCCGCTTGCTGCGAATCGTGCTTGTTTGTTTACCGTTTGCCCCACCAGCCGCGAGTCAACCGTGTAAGCGTCAGGTGCGAAGTGTCGACCACAAATGATCAGGTCCCCGACATACGTCGCTGGATGGCTGATTCGCTTCAGCCATGCAGCGAGCAGGGCCCCATCATGAGGCACCCGGTGCCGATGCTTCTCTGCTGCCCAGTCGCTCGATTTGCAGCCGACGACAGAGCAACGCTTTTTACCAGTGTTGCTCATGTCAAGGGCGAAGTATGTTCGTATGTGCGTACAGGCGCTGTAGTTGAGCGAAGAGTGTACACGTGCACGCGTCAACTGCGAGGCTGGTTCTTTCACCGCAGTGCCAAAAAACAAGGGGCAGTTTTGTAGCCGTGGGTGAGAACAGGTACTGGCGTTGACTTCACTACTGTTTTTTCACACCTGATTTAGACCAATCGGCTAGCTACGTGCTACGTCACGTGGCGAATTGCCGAGTTAACGTCACTGCGAGTGCAAGGGGGTCGGTCAGGCGCAGGAAAGATGCGCGGAATTGTTTCTCAAAATAGAGGCTCTGCGCGGCGCTGTAATATTTAGAAAACGCAATCGCTGCTGTCTAATCTACGAATTGCCGAGCTTGTATGGAGGGTGTAAAAAAAAAAATGTCGGAGCCTGTTTACTGGCCCTTTAATCAGGTCCTGGTTAAGTAGTGGCTATATCCAGAAAAACCACATGAAAAAAATTCCCGCTTCCTGGCTATATCCAGCACTTTAAGAAGAGCCCGATTGTGAGTGTAACATGTGACAATGTGGGAATTATTTGAGGCAACATGTGAACTTTGTGTAATCTGTTGTTGAGCAGATGAATGAAAGCTGTGAGAAATAAAACCCGCAAATGAAATGAGGGAGTTTTTATTTTTATTTTAATTTCGAATTGCCACGATATGCAATAAACTAATTGGCCTACATTTATCATGCGTTTGTCTTCTTGCCATTCCTGTGTCGTGCCACCCCGCCATTGCTTAGAAAGTTTATAGTGTATCGTCTCTGAAAACAGTTTCAGGGGTGCGACGCGGTGTATTGCAGTAAGGACACATGATCCGTGTCAGCCTATCCAAATGTATGTGCTCTGAGTAATACATCTCTCAGAAACAGGCAATACACTACTGAGGACGCCCAAACGGCACAGCATTGATGGCATGTGTGCACGAGCAGGCTCGGGCATGTGAGCATGCATGCACATCATGTGATCCTTCTACTGCAATATCAAAGAGGGCCGCGAAGGAATTGGGCTTGCAATGACTACACAGGTGATTGGCAAGGGTTTCAAACTGGCCTCCTCGCATGATGGTTTCGTGGCTCATAACGAATCAATTAAAAACATTATCGTGGTGCAACACTCTTCATTGGGCACATAACAACTTTCACTAACTAGAATCTTTTATCTGGTGTGGTGAGGGGCCCTTTAAGAAGTAAATTACAAATAAAACAAAAGCCGCATGCACCTCACATTTTTCAGTCTTTTGATTCACGCTCTCCTTTCCCATGACAGCTTTTCATCGTTTCACATTCGTTCTCCACCTGCCTGCGGCTACGTAGGGGGACCTCCTGTTCCCTTCCCACCGTCACATCCAGGTCTTCAAGGCAGCGCTTCAATTTTTTCGGGACATTGCACAAGCGTCTGCCCGTCTGTGGAAGCTGCTCTTTGCATCCTCGTCCACAGCCACTACTTTCCACTCCTTCTCCCATGTTTGTTTCTCTTTCCTTATTTCTATGCAGATGCAGAGACGTGCTCCCATGCTTTGGAACGTGTCAGCGTGTGTCTTTTTGAAGTGGCGCCACGCCCTCTCCCTATGGGGGGAGAGAGGGCACGTGGCTAAGCGAAGTTGCACGCCTTTGCTCTCCATAAGCTGGCACCGTGTCAAGAAGCCATGCGCTGACGTGTTGCAATGGGTACGTGTGGTCAGGCTTTTAGGGCTGTAGATATAGCTTTTTTTCTTCTCTTCCACCTCTCCTTCTACACTAACTACTCGTGCCATTTTAGCACTGTGGCATAAGGTGACCGCCGCATCCCCTTTCACTGCGGCTAGCAGTTCTTTTTCGGACGGTGGTTGAAGAAAAGAAAGACTTGGTTGAACCTGATATAATTAAGAAAGGACAATGTTGTTCTGTGACATAAATAACGTTCAAACCTAACTCGAAAACAAAATTTTAGCTTAAACAGTGTTCATGTAGGCATCGATCTTAAATATAGGCATTTATAGGCCCTTATAGGCCTTTAGGCACTAACGAGAAAAATGGGCATTTATAGGCACTATAAAACCTCCATAAAAGCCTTTCTTAAGGGAAGATGAGAATCGAACAACGCAAGCTTTATTTTTCAAAATTACATATTTTTCATTTGCTTTCATAAGCTGTTCTTGTACTTGCACGACAAAAAACTGAGATGGCATTTAAACTTGAAGTAGGTTAAAATCACTTTTAAAGAGCACAAGGTGGCTACTAAATAATTAAAAAAGTGCTCACTGTGTAGAGCCTCCTGAAAATTGTCCCCTGACTACTTGCCATTGCATTTTGCATGAGGGATTTACTAAAGCCATTTGCTCAAATTAACCATGATTGCCAAGCTCTCTTGATGGAAGAAATCATCTTAAAAAAATAAAGCATATTTTCCATATAGATGAGCTTTCACACCTTTAAAATGAATTTTTCTCAAAATCGACCTTTGTGAAAATTCTTGAGTTAGGATATCATGTTTTGTTACTTCTGATAGCCGGATTGAAATGAAATTTTTCCCACATATTCCTTAACATACGGAGGGTGCAGGTCTTTTGTTAAATACTTATGAACCTGAAGTAAGAATATAACATGCGCTGAGAATTTTAAGAATTCTCACATTAAAATGTTTATTGACCATAAAAATGTTATATACGTACTTTCTTGACAGTTATTTGCATTCTACAGTCAATGTGAAGCAATACGAGTTATTAATAGCTGAAAACCATAAAAGTTTAGTGGCATAGAAAGTTTGTCCAAAATGAACTATACACATTGTCATGGCACAAAACAAAAAGTGTGAAACTTACTAAAAAACTAATTACATTCTTGAAATCAGCATGAAAGGCTATATATAAAACAAAAATCTCATTGCTCTTGGCTTAAGATTAAGCAACCTTTTTTCAGAATCGCATCTCCTTTAACCTCTAATTCAAGCTCATATTTCAAAGTGGCATGATAGGAACGCAAGGAACAAAACAGGCATTTGCCTAAAATCAGGTCACTAGTAATCACTTTTCTGACACAGAAGGGAGCTTCTCCTAAAGATATTTTAGTCAGTCACTGGAACAGACAAGCATAAGCATGGATTCAAATACTTCTTTCTTAGCAGTTAAAAGAAAGATTAAATCTTGATGGATGGCATAGAAAGCTTGACCTAAGTTTTCACAGAAGGTTTCGAGAGCATAGAAGGTCTTGCTGAGACTAGGTGGATCCTTCTGTAACAGGGCCATCAGCTCTGCTGTTTGAGTCAAGTGATTCAGCAGGATGGGCACAACCTGGTCGGCATACTTCTTCATTTCTGGCTGAATGGAAAAGGAAAAAAAAAAGATGGAAATCAAACATGGAAAAAAAACTCAAGCACACACACACAAAAAAAATCTCGATACAACGAATTTTAAGGAATTGCTGAAAATAATTCATTATTTTGGAAAATCACTGTAAGAAAGTACTAAAAATTTGCACAAAAAATCGTAAATGCAAACGTGTGAGTAGCTCACGTGTGCTGTGTATGCATTCGCGACCACATTATGCTCTAATAAACACAGAAAAACAAACAAGTACGAAATATTGCGAAACCAGTGACTCTGCATTTGAGGAAGAGGGCCGATCTATCCAGATGTGGGGAACTCGACTGCTAAAAGTCTAACTCTTTTAAGCGTATGCATCCTTTTACACAACATGAAGGATTGGCGTTAAATACCGGTTCTTTATGTTTATTCGTACATGCTTCTTTCTCGTCTTCTTTCTCAACATTGTTTCCTTATCACGATAAATGGTATGGATCATATCGGTCATCAGCTAAGCTCACGTGTATGCTTTGTCATCGCACTGTGCGTAGTGTTCGAGCGTTAGTGAAGCATGCATGAATAACCATCGGAGACTTCATTCCATAGGTTACCAGAGTCACATTTTTCACTGTCGTAGCAATCCTTTAGTGCTGTTTCTGAAGCTGATCTGGAACGTTCAACCACCCACTAAAAGGCTAGAAAACAGCCGTGTAACAAGCACGCAGGTAAAACTGCCCGAAAAAAAAAAAAAAAAAAAGGCGGAGTGAAGCCTAACGCAAAAAAACGAGTACCAGGAGACAACAATGGTGATAGGGCAATCACACATTTGCATAGGGCGGGCAGAAAAATACTAGATTGTACTAGAACTTTTGAGCGGCCTGGGCGCGGCCCTTTAGGCGTGGAAGGGTGCAGTGGCACTGGCGTCGACCAATGTTTCTGGGCGGATAGCTGGCAGGCACTCCGCGTACGTGTTGGTACCTTTCTGTCGCGCCGTAAGGGCACCGTGCAGGATGATCGAGTTCGTTAATGCTTTTGTGTTAAAGAGCTCGTCTCATAAAAAATCTGGCGTCCTTGGTTGTGAGTGAAAAATCATAATCTTTGCGTGACCGAAAAATTGAGAAAGATGCAAATTAAAAAAATAATAAAAATTCTAGGTCTGAGTGGGAATCCAACCTGGGTGTTTACGTGGCGAGTGGATGTTCTACTACACAGTTACACCTCTGCTTGTGAATGCAGTGAAAATAACTTCCTTTGCTTGGAAGTGCAGTAAAAGCAACTTTAATGCTTCAAAAACACATGTGTCCTGCAGAAATGCTTCACAATACAACATGAAATACTGCCGTAATATTAGTTTTATTTATATTTGGCAGAACATGGGAAGGCAGGCTACATTAGAGCCAGCTATCCCAACATCATAATAGTGATGTACAATAGAGACACACAGAAAAGCAAAATTAAGAGTAAAATAGGAAAAAAAAACTAAGCAAATGCAGTGTACAATCCTATACACATTAAAGGCCATATAATGCATGAATAAATATAGTATGTATGGTCATAGTCCAGTTAACATACCGCGATCACACTGCGGATAAAGTCTGTACAGGTGGCGGCAAGGTATGATATGAACTAAAGACAGCTCATTAGATTTCTGTTATTTAAATTGTGCAGGGCGCTCACTGCACGCCTTTGATTATCAAAATGCAGCCACGGTACAAGTATTTTTGTAATCGTGAATGATCGTCTGTCAAGTCGGTTCAAGCGATCTCTCAGTTCAGCGCGTTGTTGATCGTATTGCGGACATTTTAATAGAATATGCTCCTCTGACGCATCATCATGATTGCAGTGGTCGCAGTGCAGGGACGTTCTTTTTATTCGGCATAAAAAGTGAGGTTTGTATGAAACACCTAATCGTAGACAGTGCAATAGGGTGTCGAATGGTCTATCGATCTTTTGATTAGGTGAAAATCGGAGAGAGGGATCTCTTTGATATAGAAGCGACGACTTTGTATTTTCATCAAACCAAGCATCTTTGCATAATTTGTGGCACAGTTCAGAAAAAAACTTTTTGCTTTCTGAGAAATAAACGGGCGCTGGTGTCGAGTGAACAATTTTGTGTGCTGCAGTGGCTAATTTGTCAGCAATTTCATTTCCTATCACTCCTACGTGGCTTGGAATCCATTGAATAAATATCTTGTGGTCGTCCAGATGACTGATGGTGATAGTATGAAGCAACAATTACCGGCGCGTTGTGTGTAGTGCAATAAATGCGGCTGATGCAGAGCACGAAGCCAGCTCCCGACCCGTCAACTAACAAAGCTGATCGGTATCGCGAAGGCGAATGCGGAAGCACGGGAAAGAAAGGAGACTCCTTCGTTCACACGGTTCACAAGCGGAGCCATCAAGGTCGCCCCCGTTTGCCACTAGAAGGGGAAGGCTTACTCGAAAGAGCGTCGGGCAAGAAGCAGGCCAGGTGCCGCCGTGTGAGTTTAAGTCATTGTTGGCATACACGCGTGCATTGAGAACGACGCAGGGACGCGACCACTGGGCTGTCCGAGAAATTATGGCGGCACGCATATGAGCTTATTCTCCCCCGCTATACGTCATTACCGGCTGTTGTTAGGATGGCAGGGCGCCTCGCTGTCGCGTGCACACCTGGTCAGCGCACAGAGCCTCACGGTGTACTCTCTGAGCTTAATGAGGCTTCTATGAAGCGTCGTGTAATGAGAAAGCTGATGGAGCTCGAGCATGAGAACGGCTATCTATGGAGGTCAGCCGATACACGGCCTGGCATGGGAGAGAGTGTGACACGCAGTGAACCTATCCCTTTGCGTGTTGTATTTGGTAACGTGGTTTTTACCAATGCAGTGTTTTTATGAAAGTGTTTCTGCAATTGGTTGTGATGATGCGATCCCCAAACCCTTTGTTAAACCGAGGGTTGAAAAGAGGATGTTTGAATTTGAAATGGGGGAGCGGAGGGTCGGGCTTGGACTTGGGCAGACGCCTGAAGCTGCAATAAAGCGTCTCTTTACCGGACTACGGCTCTTCCTTCGCGCTGCCACCGTGCACTCGAGTCATCGAGGGGACCCATTCCGAACCTCAAATATCTTCCCTCTTTAGCTAGTGTAGAAGCTAGTCGAGGAGGAGGAAATAAACTGTAATTGTTTTTAATATTTCATATATGATGCTGTCATTTATATGAAAATAGAAATCCATAATCATTTGCAGTGCTCCTTTGGAGTCTGAATATATTACCCAGTTTCGTCTTAGCTGGCTTTCAACAATGAATTTTGAAGCTTGTAATATTGCAACAAGCTCCGCTGCTGTAGACGATGTCTTTTGAGAAAGTCGGAAATCAAATGTGAAATGGTCTTGGTAATTGCACATTTGTTGAAGCGTTAGAAATTTGGCCTCAAGGTAGTGTGTAGAGAATTTTTTTTATCCCTTTGATGTCCAAAGTGACTAGAGGTGATGTAAGCTGCCAAGGAGAAAAATTGATAGCGAGACGCAACGAATATTGCTCTTGTTGAAGTACCACCTCGAAAGCTCGCAAGGTGTCACCAATTCGCCCGTTTCTTTCAATAAGTTTTTCACGAAGCGAACGGGCATAATGCCTTTGCGATAAGCGGAGGAAGTGGCGGTAGAGTTCTTGAATACGAATAACTTAAATTGGTGGTTCTCTCGCTATTGCGTTTACGAGGCCACTGTGAGTTGAGCGCGGTAAGCCCAGGCAAATACCTAGACTGCGGGCTACCCGTTGTTTAGTTTACGCTCATTTGTCCGAGACACACTTTGCATCACTGGTAATGCATATGCGATGGCTTGTCGAAAGAGCTCTATGAACCTCCAGAAGTGATTCTGATGTGCCATCCCATTTGGTTCCTGTAATACATCGGATAACACTCAGTGTCCAGTGGACCCGCTCCTCAATGTTGAAAATATGAGGTCCCCAGGTTAGCATGCGGTCCAATGTTATGCCACGGAAACGATGCTTGCGCACAACAGGAATTACAGTCTGGTTGACTGAGAGTCTGAGCTGGTGGTGACGTCTTCTGGTAAAAGGTAATACCGCAATTTTTTCTGCTGAAACATCCATGCCCCATTCTGTCAGAAAGCACACTGTTATTTCTATGCCTTCTTGAAGCAGATCCTGTACTTTCCGGCATTTATGCCCTGACGACCAGAGATTATTAATAGAGTTTATTGGTGCAAGGGCCAGATGTGGCCAAAGAGTACCAGAGTGATGATAATGAACTGTGCGTTACGTAGTGTGAATAAAACAGATGTGACGTGGCTGTAAATGGGCCTAAAAACAGTAGCTGTAGGTGCGTAAAATATAGAGTAAAATTATGGCAATGACAAACGATGTGAGCTATGGAGACATAAAATTCATTAAAAATAATACGTATATAAAATAAAAACTTGGTGTGGAGCACTAGTGCCTCGGCAGAGCCCTTAAAACAAGGACATGGAGGCCTGGGCTCATTGAAGGCTGCTATCACAGCGACATCTTCTGGACAGAGGATGCGCTATGAGCTTGTTTGGCTAAAAACATTCAATACCACATCTTTTAGAAAGCTTAGGACTGATTTTGTGTCAAAAAGCGGCTCTTCGTCGAGAAACATAATAGGATGTAAAGGAAGATGATAGCGGTGTACTAAAGGAAAATATTTCTTTCTTTCTCTTTCAGCTTCCGGACACTCTAGGAGGACGTGGAGGACGGTTAGCCTTTTGCCACATCTACCACAAATAGGATGTTCATCGCCAGTCAAAAGAAAGCTATGAGTACCATATGTGTGTCCTATTCTGAGGTGACAGAATAGGACATCAGTTCGTCGTGTTCTTGTAGCGAGGGGCCAGTAACCCAACAGTGGCTTAATCAAGTGAAGCTTATTATTTATTTCTGTGTCCCACAAGCGTTGCCAGTGGCTTGGCAGTTTCTTACGTAGGAAGGGTTTTAGACCTGTTGCAGGGACAGTAGTGGTAGGGTTAATAGCGCGCAATATATTTGACGTGGC